TTTGTAGAAATTATTTAATAAACTGTGTTATTAGAAATATATATGTAAAGACACGATGTTTTATGTTCTTTATTTACAGAGATAATTGCGTTAGTAGCTTGTTAAACTGAAATTTAAACAATGTCAATCTTTGCTGCATATTGATCTAAAACATAGGAAAAAATCGCTTACATACAAAATCTAAAGATCTTTCAGGTCAAAATGTTTCGAAGTGTTCCACATAGTCATTAGCATGTTACAATTTCCCAAAATATGACTATTTCTCACATTTCAAGGTTTCGAGTAAACCGGTCTGCTCTTGTCACATGAACTTTCAATATAGAAATATTGTCTTTTCGTGAATTTAACAATTTAAAAGTCATGTTTTTGCAGATGAAATAAAATGCTCCGCTGGGCGCAGCTTGATACGACCGCAGAGGTCGAACCCTGAACAGCTGGGGCAAGTATGGACACAACATACAGCACTGAATTTGGATTGTGATTAAATATTTGACACAGCATAGGTTTCTGACACAGAATGAATGTGGTCTAAGAACTTAAAAAATTTTAATTTACCTATTCTAAACATATCATTATTATTTGCTTTTATATATAAATCAGAAATAACCCATTTATAAATGGAAAATTTTAAAGAAAAAAAAAATCCCTCCCCTAAATTGTTTGAACCCCCTTATGATTCATCACCCCCAAACTCAATCCCAGCCTTCCCTTTGTGGTATGGTACCTTGTAGTACAATTTCAGAGAGATCCATACACTTGAACACAAGTTATTGTCTGGAAACTAGAAAAATTCTTGTTTTTAGGCCCCTTTTTGGCCCCAAATTCCTAAACGTTTAGGGCAATTACCCCCAAACTCAAACCCAGCTTTCCTCTTGTGATATGGAACCTTGTAGTACAATTTCATAAAGATCCATACACTTACACACAAGTTATTGTCCTGAAACTAGAAAAATGCTTGTTTTTTTCCCCTTTTTGGCCCCTAATTCCTAAAATTTTGAGGCAATTACCCCCAAAATCAATCCCAGCCTTTCCTTTGTGGTATGGTACCTTGCAGTACAATTTCAGAGAGATCCATACACTTGAACACAAGTAATTGTCTGGAAACTAGAAAAATGCTATTTTTGGCCCCTTATTCCTAAACGTTTTGGGCAATTACCCCCAAACTCAATTCCAGCTTTCCCTTTGTGATATGGAACCTTGTAGTTCAATTTCAGAAAGATTCATACACTTGCACACAAGTTATTATCATGAAACTAGAAAAATGCTTGTTTTTTCCCCTTTTTTGGCCCCTAATTCCTCAAATTTTGAGGCAATTACCCCCAAAATCAATCCCAGCATTTCCTTTGTGATATGGAACCTTGTGGTACAATGTCAGAGAGATCCATACACTAACACACAAGTTATGTCTGGAAGTTACAAAAATGCTTATTTTTGGCCCCTAATTCCTTAACTGTTTGTACCATAACCCCCAAAATCAATCCCAACCTTCCTTTTGTGGTATTGAACCTTATGGTAAAATTTCATGGAGATCCATTCACTTAAACTAAAGTTAGAGTGCGAAAACCAATGTGTCTTCGGACGACGACGACGACGCCGGACGACGACGATGACGACAACGACGACGACGCCGACGCCGCCGACGCCAACGTCATACCAATATACGACCAAAAAAATTTTAATTTTTGCGGTCGTATAAAAATTAAAGATAACCATTTTTATAAAGTAGGTTATCGGTTAAAAGATTTTTACAATTTTTTCATACATTTCTAAGAAAAAGTCCTCTCGATTTCTGTACATGTATTTGCGGTCTCCTCGATCTATTCACATTCAATGTTTATATCGGGATAAGGTCCGTTTGAATTTGCTTAGTAACTTGATTTCAAAAGTGTTAATCTTCGCTGCATATTAATGGATTCCATTTGAATTTTCCCCCTTAACTTCTCTGATCGAACTGCATACATTTTTTGATAATTGGCGTATTCCAGAGTAGTATACAGCCAGTAGAAAAATATGTTGAAGTTGGTACTCCATGAATTTTTTCGCAAAGCAACATTTTAAACCAATTTTTCACAAAGCTCCTATAGCCTGCTGTACTCGTCGTTTGCTATTTTTGGAGGGAAATGATAACATTATATAACATTTTGATTGTATATCAATCTAATATTATTGTTACTACTTACCAGAATGTTTTCTTGTGAATTTATAATTAAAAGCGGGATTGCTAAAACGAGACAAACATTGAAAATATCAAGATGTCTGTGTTTACAGGGGAGGTAATATTTTGTCACTATATTCTTATTCTTTGTCAAGTGCAATATATTAATACAATGGTAAGGCATGATACTGATACAATAATTATTAACGGTCTGTCATAGATCATCTTCATACACACAGGGGCCTCGGTGTCCGAATAGTCTAATTAGACACTATCCTGTCAACACTGAGGTTGTGAATTCGAATCCCGCACGTGAATGGTTCGTTTTGCGTAGACTCCAATCTTATTCGACTAGGGTTGCTATTTTTCCTGCCGAAGATCGGTGGTTCTCTTCGACTTCCTCCATCGACAGAAACTGACCGCCATGAGATAGGCAATAGCACTGAAATTGGCGTTAAATATCAAAGATCAGTTAACCTATCAGAAACCACTTTAAATTAGAAAACGCATCAACTTAACAATGTAAATATGTCACTCAACCAAATTAAGGAAGTGGATACTTCATATTTGCGGATGGATCATGCATGTAGTCATAGCCTTTCTTAATAACTGATCAGATGTTAAACATAATAACCAAGAACAGTACCATCTATATATAACCTAATGACATTTGTTCCAGGTTAGACTAAACTCAGCTATATATTATTGAATTTTGAAAGCGAGACAGACGGTTATGTTATATGTATGTGTCTTACGTCTGTTCCTACCATAAAATCCTGGACTAGACTTGACAATTTGTTTACTCTCAGTATAATATTTACAGAAATGGATGCCATATTGGTAGGAGGAAGAGGGAATAACAAATGGATTTAAACTTCAATGTATATATTCTTGAGAAATGTTTAAAGATACCGGCTATATTAAGCAAACAACCAATCCTCATGTAGAAACTAGCAATAGATCGTCATAGTCCCTGATCGGTATCGGTACTTAAGAATAATTCGTAAGGGTTCCGCAGAACCAAGTGTCCCGTCTACTTTTGCTGTTAGTCGCAGGCTCAACAAAAATGGGGAAATAATTATTAAAAATTTTCCTCTAGATACTATCTTTTGGTTGTAAGAAGCTTCTGTTCAAGTTTGGTAAGAATCAAGGATGGTTTATGAATCTAATAAATGTGTTTAAAACTTTAACTGCAGACTGTATGTAATGTTAACTGGAAGAAAAACTAAGTCCATTTATAAGTAATATACGGAAAAACAGGAAAAATATTTTTACAAAATGTCCTTCTAGATACTAGCTTTTGATCATAAACAAGTTTCTGTCCAAGTTTGGTACTAATCCAGGATAGTTTAAGAAAGTTAATAATTTTTTAAAACTTTAACCACAGAGTGAATGTAATGTTAACTGGCAGAAAAACTAAGTCCATTTATAAGTAAAATACGGAAAAACAGTATTTTTTTTCAACAAAATTTACTTTTGAATACTATCTTATGATCATAAACAAGCTTCTGTCCAAGTATGGTACAAATCCAGGATAGTTTAAGAAAGTTATTAAAATTTGAAAAAACTTTAACCACAGAGTGAATGTAATGTTAACTGGCAGAAAAACTAAGTCCATTTATGAGTAAAATACGGATAAACAGGATTTTTTTTTTACAAAATTTACTTCTGGATACTATCTTATGATCATAAACAAGCTTCTGTCCAAGTTTGATAGAAATCCAGGATAGTTTAAGTTATTAAAATTTCAAAAACTTTTAACCACAGAGTGAATATTTGTGGACGCCAGAATGTAGGATCTCTATGTCTCACTTTTGCAACAAAAGTCGCAGGCTCGACAATAATACTGGTAGGTTGGTTTAACACCACACCAAACATCCAACTCCTACTTCTTCAAGACGTCAGTGTCATTACCAGATTTAACTTTACAATTCATACAGATAACACAACAGTTCATCTGATTAGACAGACAATCCTATACAATTATGAATACTTAGTCCTACATCCGGTCTATACTAATATTTTGGTATTGTACAAGGTCATTGTTTTCTAAGACTGTGTATGAGGTCTTCACACTTAATCCATTGCATGTGTACTGATTAACATATGTCTTGGAAATATGATTTTTTCATTGGTTGTAATCGTTTTTGTACTAGCTTTCAGTAACTTTGAGTACTCTTTAATCGGTACTTTGAGTCTTTCTCTTTTTGTTAGGGTTTGGTTTTTATTGTGCTTTTTATGGATCTGATGAGTAAAATCCTTTTGAACTATTTTTTTACAGCATGTCTAATGATATGCAGTTACACCACTATCCCAGGTTAAGGGGGTGGGGGCTGAGTACTCACAAATATGTTTAAACCCGCCATATAATTCTATAAAAACTCATTTTACAACTGTCTGAATTGTTTTACTTGAAGCATCATTTTACCGAATTTTTATATATTATGTAACCTTTTCTAATACTTTGTGGAAATTCATTAAACCATCTTGAGAAAGTTTTGCTAATATGCATAATGATTAAACTGATGGACATTCAAGTAGGGTAAATTCCAATTATTTTCCATTTGTTCCTTTGGTTGATAAAGTCCAATGCTTGATTTTGACAGTTTTTATGGACTTCCCCTTTTTAAAATTCGGCATTTGGTATTTTTGTTTATACTTTTTTTTTCAATTAACAATCGTAATGTAGTTGGTATACAGCTCTCGGTTCATTCTCAGAGTCTCGGTGTATATTACTTACTACTTATATATTAATCAACCAATGATCTGCCATACATTGATGTATGTAAATACAATGGGATCTAACTAATGAGATTAAATAATGCAAGGGAAAACACACAAACAGTTTAAGATTCCACTTCTTTTATTCAAATCCATGACTTTCTGCATTTGGAATGCAAAAATGATAAACAAAAAATGCACAGCACCTTAAGTACAGAAATAGACTATCAACATATCAAACTTACAAACAATAACAAAAATTGCTGTGTAAAAAGTATACCTTACTATGAAATAGTTTTATAAGTCTCTCTTATAACAATTCAAAATAAATACAAATTCACATGATCACATATATAGTTTGCATTGGAGAGATTAACAGATAGTATGAAACATCTAATTACTAGTTGAAAACAAGCAGTTTGGACATTTACTAAAATATACGTCTTTAAAACTGTCAAAAATAAAAATACAAGTTTTCATCAAATTTGCTCTATTCTAGAGAATATGTTATTTTGAACAATTACATATTGTACCCCAGAATTTAATTTAAAATGTCCTTTCCCATACTTGTTGATGTAAATGTAGAAAACCTCTCAGGTCAAAGTTTAAAATTACAACTCGTGTTTCTTTAAACATTGGGTTTTTAAACATGAACATATCCTACATTTGTGTTAGCTTTAAACTTCTTTTTTTCACATACATCTTTTGTAATATTGCTATTTTGAAAATTTGCTCAATGTTTTATGTATGTATATAATATCATTACAAAACAATGCTAAAGAAAAGAATCACATATATGCTTGAAAGGTGGGATTTTGTCAATATATTATATTAGAATGAACATTTGCAGATAATTATAGACAAGACCTAACAAATAAATAGTTTTGGCAGTTTTACAGCCAAAAAAATATATATATCTGAAGAATTCTTGAGCTGTAATTATGATGAAATTGTATATTACATGTATATGATTATGGATTATGCTTAAGTGAATAGAATTATCCCATTATCACTTAAATCTTTGTATTATTACAGTTTGAATTTGCTATGGTTACATCCAAATAGTTGAATAGATAAGTGATGACTAAATTCAGCCTGTTATCATATATAAATAATTTATCATTCCAAACCATTTTCTCAAGAATTTAGGGTCACAAAAACTTCTTAAATCATATTTAAAAGTCATTATTTCTAAAAACAAACTTATTTTCCAAATTATTTTCATAATTATGAACGTGTTTGAATAAAAAGAAATTAAGAGCTCATTTTGAAAATGTGTGTCACAATTCAGTAAGAAATATCTAAATACAGTATAGTATATACTTAATCCTGTTCATAAGAACTGGAGCTTACTACATGTATTAAATGTTTCTTAAACACATGATCATCTTTACACTGTACATCTAATTCTACAAAGCATTTTATAACATTTAAAACATTTTTGATGAAAGGTTGTGATCTTTAAAAGAGATCATAAATTAGACATTATACAATAAGACTAAAAAAAGTTCAAGTCATGTAGATAATAAATGATCAATATTTGATATATACATTTTCTTCTTATGACAATATTCATGATAAATAATTGAAAACATTATCTTAAAAGAAATTACCACATAAAAAGTAGACAGTTCTTTAAATGAGCAATATATTCATAAAACCTAATTCAAGATATACAAATTTACAAAGTCAAAAAATATTTAAAAAAAAAGTAAAATAACAATGAATGGAATGGTACATTGAAATGTATACATGGTATTCTCTGAATGATACCAGTATCAACATGAGATTCCCTCCTGATCTGGGGAGCTTCAGGGGGGATACCAGAGATATCCGATGCCACAGAGAATTAATTTATTATCTGTATATCAAGACTAGTGGCTATTAACTACCAAAGTATTACCTTAACAAAAACTAATCTACCCCGGTACAATACAATATGTAAAATGTGAAGTTTATTCTTACTTCAAACAAAGACAGTTTGACATTACAATTTCTAAAGGCATTTTACAAACAGTGAAAATAGACTTTGAACATTTTGTAATTGTATACAATATTCTTTAAATACTTTTAACCAAACATTAAAATTCGAAATTTATCTGATTTTCTACACTGGAAGAGGACATGAGATAACAGCAATAAAGAGCTTATATGAACCTCATGTTATAATTTCACAGGAAGCCAATGTCAGAATCTCTTAATCACATTTTCTATCAAAGATTCTCCCGTTCATGCCATATCAGCCATGCAAAAAGATGACTTTCGTTAAAAAAAAATGTGAAAAATATTTATTCACATATGCCATCATGTAACATATAAAATATGTTGTCTAAAAAAAATCTTGTTACAGTATACATGTATTCAGAAATTTTGTGATGTTATTATCTACTGGATAAATGTGACAGGGTGAGGATTGCCTTAATAAATATTGAAACCACTGATCAACGGCCCTATTCCTGACCAGCAATTCCATAAAAAGTGATCAACTAATCTTCATTTACTGTGTGCATGTATTGTTCAACGCACATGACGAGGGTATCAATAAATGCATGCAATAATTTCAGAACTACATGTACATGATGTACAGTAATAATAATATCAAAACTTGATCCTGAACACAATTAAATGCTTAATAAAGTTATCTCTTCTTGCACTTAAGGCATAGGTGTAATTTTGGTGCACATCTTCATAAAAATCTTGACAAATGTATCCCTTTTGTGAAATCCTAGTGATGATTTTATTACATTTTTTTCTTCAATATTAATCTTGTAAACAATATATTCTTCATGATTAAACATGATAAATGGACATAAAAAAAGACCTGTTAAGAGATTAAAATGATAACACAAAAGTAAAACTTATTTTCCACCCTTTAACATGCTTAATGGGCCCCTAATTGCAGACTGGTGTGACATGATGTTGTACAAAATATCATTTTGTTACTATATTTAGAAAATAATGGTCACAGAAATTGTTCTTACTGTGGTATGAATTTAATTTGTACATACATACGTTGTATGAACATACATATAGAATTTGGCCAAAAATGTGAAAATAAGTTCTTCAAAAGTGAAGAAAAATTGTAAACCATACATCACAAACATGTAAAAGATATTTTAAAATATATGCCCTCATTAAACTAAGAACAAGACATTATCATGACTTTTTGGCCTGGTACATACATTCAAACAAATGCTAACATGGTTAATATATACTTTATAAAATAAAACAACTTAAAAAATATATACTTTCGTGTTCATTCTTATTTATTCATGATTGAATGTGTAAAAACTGAAGTTATTAAAATTCAAATAATGATAAAATAAATAAAGTTTGATTGCACGCTTTATTACATTAGGGTAACTTCATCAGTCTTAAACATTTGAACAGCTTATGCTATATAATCAAAGTTGTCTCCCTTGTACCATAAGTTATGATTATGAGGATGTTTAAAATAAAATTATTAATTTAAAAGAAAGTTTTCCTAATAAAATGTACATAGTGTATATATATAGTAATTTTAAATCTTTATTAAATTTTGGATAAATCCCAATAGGTATAATTAGTCTTGACATTGAAATAATAAACTGTATTTACTAAAAACTGATTGACAGTTGTCAATTTAATCATAATTAATTGTGTTCTAGTCTCAGATTGTATAATGAAATTAACTTATACTGCAAATTAAATTACATTTATTTGTTGAAGGCAATCTGTTCACATCCAGAGACAATTTGATTATTTTAATTAAATTAGTGCTTTGACATGCTCAGTGATCAAATCATGATATTTACACATAATGACATGGACTGACATAACTCTGAAAATCATAATAATATTTACTGACAGGACTCCCCCTAAAAAATGTCTGAAAAAAAAATATTTCTACAAGATTTGATATCTTAAATGACAAACAATAATATAAACTATCACAACAGCACTTTTAATCATAATTAAGTAATAACTGGCTTTAGATTAAAATCTGTCTTACTTAAGTCTTTGTAAAATATTACTTTTATATGAAGATGTGAAAATCTATGAATAAATGCGTCTATATATTCAATCACAACAAAGACAAGGACAGGGACAGTTTAACAATAAATAATGTTTAAGACCAAATAAAAAATATATGCACAAAAAACATGAAAAATGTACTAATAATGTTTATCAATGATGAAGACATTTTGATGATTTCATTGTTTTCATGTACAGTTGTAACAATTAAGATTATACTCATATTAACCAACCTACCAATGAATTACATAGTTGAAAAAGAGAATAAATATTGCTAGATTCTCACTTTAAACTCCAAAAGATAAACAACTACTTTATTTGTGTTTAATTACAAAGCTAAATAAATGGACAGTTTACTGTTTGATAATTTATATCCTTAGCTTTTATCATGTTTATACAAATATGTATTAGACTGATTAAGAAAAATAAAATGGTTTTCCCTGTAACAATATTTTTCATTTGGCCTTAATACATTTTTTTTGTACATGAACATGTAATAAACATGTAATAAACATTTAGTAATGCCTATAAGTTATAACAATTAAGAGAATGTACTACTTCTTGGTTTTCCTCTACCAAGATGAAATCCTATAGTACCATCTGGTCCTTTAGGTTGACGTACCACACCTTCCATGTCATGCATGCGTTTTGGTCCATTACTTTCATTTGATGCAAGAGGACTCTTTTCTTGTGCAGCTTTCAACATCCTACGACGGATCCATGGACTTGATGGACTACCCTCACCACCTGAGGAATAATCATTGTATTGTTTGCGACTAGTTTCTGGACTACTCCGAGGACTATGTCTAGGGCTCAAGTTTGGACTGTTATCTGCCAATGGAGATTTACCATGCTGAAACTTATTTCTTTGCATTCTTGGACTAGTCATTGGACTTGACCTAGGACTAGATCTTGGAGAATTACCTGGACTTAGTTTATTAACTTCTAAATGATTAGGGCTCAATGACTTTTGATGTGACTGACGACCACGTCCTGAATGTTCAACCTCTGAGCCACTACTGTAACAAGAAGAATCATTGTTTTTAGCAAGTTCATCAATTCGGTTTTTCTTTCGTCGTTCACGTCTTTTTTTCTGTTTTTTGGGATCTTCTTCATCATCTTCTTTTCCAGTATCATTACCTTGTCCATTCTGATCTTTTCTATCTTTCTTCTTTTGAGCAGAAAGGAGAACTACTCTCATCCCTTTCCTCCAGTCATCATTATTATTCAAACTTTCCACAGCTAATTTTGCATGTTCATGTTTTTCAAATTCTATTACCGCACATGTTGTTGTTCCTATTTCAGGATGTTTATTTGCATGCTTCTTCACATCTTGAGGAATTGTCTTTCCTGGACGAAGAATTCTAATCAATGAAACTTCTCCACACTTTGAAAAAACTTCTGCGACATTTTCAATAGTGGGATTTTCCATTGGTAGGTTTACAACTACAACAGACCTTGACGGTATTGTCTCATCATACTCTGGAAGAGGATCTTTTCTACGTACTTTTCTACCCTCTTCATTTACATCAAGCTTCTCAGAGAGTCTTAAGCTATATGCAACTACTCTGTAGTCTTTTGTTAATGATTTCATTTTTTTGAATGATGTAATAAGCTTAATGCTTACATACCCTTGTTTGTTTCTTCGAACATGTTTCAAAAGAAATGCATCTTTCAGAATATTTACATCTGAGAAGTAAAACTCAACTTGTTTTACGATTTTGTCACGTAGTTCATCGTCTGGTGGGATAAATTCTGGCTCAGGAGATTTCGAACGATCATTTTCATCCGACGCATTCCTACTGCCACTTTCTTCTTCACTCGTGTAGACACTGCTATTAGCTTCGTCGTCAACTTTTAACTGGTCCAGTCGAATGTTTTGAATAGACGATGTGACCACGTTTTCGTCACCGTTTTGAACATCTGGTGATGATGGAACAGTCTCCTCGCGAATTTCAGGGATAATTGAACTTACAGTGCAGTCACTCATCATGAAATCTAGCTTACTTCTCTTCGGGTGGCTATTTTATACTTCACAACTTAAGCCAAGGTGGTAAAACTGTAGGAAATCCCACAGAACTGCCGACCTCAGTTCCTAACTTCTAAAATATCCTAAAATGACGTCGGAGGAATCGGTTTCCGCTTCCGGTTTATAAAAATAAGGACTGTTTCAAAGTTTCCATTGGGACAGTTCCATTTCTTCACTATAAGTAAAAATGAAACAAATTACAATTTCAGTGATGTTGGTGATACTTGCTCTCAAAGTAGAAGTAATTAATTTTTAATAATAATGATGATGATAATGATAATACAAAAAATAAATTAATGATAACAATAATTTAAAAAAAAGAAAAAAAAGTTGATAAATGAGATCGCACTCTGGGCAGGAACATATATATTAGATATACTGTTCCCAGCTCTGGGTGGGTGGTCCTTCATTTCTGTATTCTTTAATTTTTTTTGTCATTCTTCTCTATTCTTTATGTTTTTTGGGAAATATTCTCTATTCTTTATATTTTAGCACCCCATTATTCTCTATTCTTCTTTATTCTGTATTTTTATTGTCCATTATTCTTCACGTTTTCCCCATTATTCTCGATTCTGTAAACCCCATTCACACCCTCACAGTGGCGTAGCTAGGCCATTTTTAAGTGTACGCCCGAACCTCATTGAGGGGTTTGAGGTCCAGGACAGAAGACCCGGTACTGAGGGGTCGAAAACCGTCGCCCTGGACGTTCACGCGTTATTGAGAAAGAGACCAATATCTGTCATTAAAAACACATCAATAGCAACATACTTGGTCGGTTAAGAACAAAACTTTACGACAAAGGAGATGATTTCAGCCTTCAATTGTGATCTTTTCTATGTAACAACATTCCAGCAGCACCTGCATATGGAGTATATACCTGCCAGTTGATAAGATATTCCAGAGTTTGCATTTCCTATCATTATTTTCTTGATAGATAGTTGCTGCTTACAAGGAAGCTACTAAACCAAGAGTTCCAAGTGATGAAGTAGAAATCATCCTTTCGAAAATTTTACGGTCAACATAACAAGTAGGCTAATGACGAAGGATATGTCTCAATGGTTGATATTACCACAATACCGTGTGATCTACAGAATTAGACTTATCACGGGGTTTGCACACGTGAAGCAGAATTTGCTTACCCTTCCGGAGCACCTGAGATCACCCCCAGTTTTTGGTGGGGTCCGTGTTGTTAAGTCTTATATTTCTATATGTTGTGTTTTGTATACTGTTGTTTGCCTTTTCGTAGTTTTTCGTTTTTTGCCATGGTATTGTCAGTTTGTTTTCAACTGATGAGATTGAATATCCCTTTGGTATCTTTTGCGTCTCTTTTAGAGTCTAATTTGTTTTGTTTTTTTAAGTTAAATTTATTTATTGTATTGATTTGGAATATAATGGTAATTTATTTAAGAGAAAAATGCCCAAACCAGCTGCTTAAAAATATAATTAAAAGCAATCTAATTAAAATTTATATCTATATTAACTCGCATGCTCGTATCTTATGAGTATAACGATATCAGAGATATATATTTTAATTAGATTGGTTTAAAAGGAGATGTGGGGTAAATAATCAATCGACAAAAATCAAAACTTTATAGAGATAGTAAAAAAGCAAGTCTCCAATAGAAAGTTGTCGTTCTATTATTTTTTTTTTACCTTATCTAGTTAACTCATCTTTTTACACTCAAATTTCGTTAACGGACACAGGTCCTAATAAATTTTCATAGATGGGCAGGTGTAACTTTAAAATAGATATTGAACTGTAGCATAAAAATGCAAGCCACATCGTATCTCAGCAGATAATGAATTGCTTTAAACAATAGTAAACTGAGTAGAAATCACAGTAGATTCAGACTTTGACAGAAAATAAAAAAATATATAATATAAAATATGAAAACAACACGTTAACTATTATTAATGTCATGCGTTCGAGGCGCTTTTCTGGGTTTACCTTTATCAGGAACGCTTAAAGCCGAATATATTAAAGCAGAGGATTTTTAAGAACCGAAACAGTTACAGCTACGTATGTATATGAACTGAAAGTATATAAAAAATAATATGATACCATTTGATTAAAACGTATTTTTCGTCACTTTGTCTTTTATCTCCAAGTACAAGTCATTGAAGAAAAAATTACAAGGCTCGTGTGCTTTTAATCAGTTCTTATAATTTATTTGGGTTCAAATATTTTTTTCTTCAAAATTTATTTGCACGCCCGGGCGTTTTGACGTTAACGTAGCTACGCGCATGTCTCATAAATTGGGTGAATTGTAGGGAAAGTTAACGTCCAAATTATACCCTACTCTTTTCTTTTCAATGCCACTGATCATAAGGTAGCAATCCTTATGAACAAAGGTTACACTTCTAAAAGGAGAAATGGGGAATGGCCTTTTTCAGTAGCATATGTAACATATTTCAATTTATATTAATTTACTTTTGTATATGTATATATATATATGTGTGTGTGTGTGTGTTATCATACTGACGACCCCAAAGTCAGTGAACTTAATACACCTTAAATTTGCTCTGTGAGAAGTACACGGAGGATGCACCCTTAAGAATCAAAACAATCTGATGCATAGATAATTGTTTTGATGACAATTATCTATGCAATCAGCAGTACCCTCCCCAAACAAATAATGAATTAGATATAATTATTCTTTTAAATGGAGCCTGAAACAATGACATTCGGCATCAAACGTAACAGTGTTTTGTCGGGCCCTCAAAATGGATTGGACCCATGATGGTGTCTGGGTGAGACATTAACATTTAAGTTCTCCACCAAGCATGGCAGATAGGGAAACTATATTTGGAATACATATTATTTTTGGAGGTTTTTTCCCCCCGCTTTTGGGCCGTTGTCAATTTTAAAAGGCGTTTCTACCTCCCGTCACCTCTAAATACCAGTACAATTCCATTTACAATTGACATTTGTAGCTTTTATTTTGATCTGACAATAGTTAATACAAAAGGCTCTGTCGTAAGAATGAAATAACACACATAAAAAATAAAACTATCGTGTCAGTGAAATAATCTTGACTCACTTGCTAGAAGGATCTCTGTACTACGATGAATATTCGAGATCGAATAATTAATATTTTCTCAAGGTCTTCGCTTGTTGTTTTTGTTTTAAATTTTAATCGTCTTTTTCTACAGATTTATAAGATTAAATTTGTTTTTTGAAATGTGCTTACCTGCAGTCACAAGAATTATTAGAACCTTGACATTGCACGTATATAGTCTCCGGGCATAATCAGTCATAAAGTTGTTTTTCTTGTTTGTTTATATGCATAAAATCTTTCTGTTTAATATTTTATGAAGGTGGCGTCACAAATAAACCACATTAGAAACACGGACCTAATTATTATTTATAATTATCGGTTATTTTAAATATCAGGTTTTGAGTCATCAGAGCGAAAGTGTAAAACTTGGACTGGACTGGAACGGGAGGGACTGCCGGGTCACTTACCTGGACTAGATACATATACAATAGGGCTCATATTTGAAAGAAACATGCACGTTAACTGCAAATGCATGGTAATTAAATCACTATGCATTTAGTCTTCAGGTCAGTGAAATCCATCAATTCAGTTCATCAGACAGGACGAAGATTCCAACCCAATGCAGCCAAGACACGGTTTATCATTTTATCACCACCGGCGAGATCGTAATAATCAAATAAAACATAATTATGTACTAGTATATGAACAAATTCGTGGCAGATGTATATTATCCATATTATTCTTACATACACAGTCATGAGGTTATTCTATTATAAACTCAGTGTCATGTGTTCCGGTTTCTGGGGTAGACAAGGCCATGTATCATAAACTGTCATGTGTTCCGGTTTCTGGGGTAGACAAGGCCATGTATTATAAACTGTCATGTGTTTACGGTTTCTGGGGTAGACAAGGCCATGTATTATCTGCATTTATTGCTGTACCCTCCAGCACTAAAGTGCATGATGCATCTATCATTATTTAAAGTTGTGAATATGTATTTAATGTCTCGATCGCTCATTTTTTCTGAATTGTAGAATTTGTGTCGACATCATCTGTTTGCTACTACGGAATTAACACTGCAGCGCAGAAATCCACGCACTTCTAATTATCTGCATGTGGTTCACATTTTGCTAACACTTACTGTTCCAAATTGTTTCCCCTTGAAGTGTCTCACATTGTATAAAATTAATGGATTAAGTTAAATCGTTTTTGGATAAGAATAGAAGATGTGGGGTGTACGCGTTAATCGGACAGCAAAGTTTTTAACCATCGACAAAAATAACACAAACACATTTGAAGGGCAACATACATCTTAAACAATAGACATGAGTTTATAAATATGTAAAGCTCTAATTCGTCCCGAGTCTTTTATGAAAAGTTATTAATAAATTTAACAGAAACTATAAAAAAAAATCTACCACTAACACTTAATTCTCAAAATAACGAGAAAAATATTAAGATATGCCATATGATAATTACTGACCAGGTTCTTAACATGGACAGGCACATGTAAACATGACTGGGCTAAACTAAATTTGTAATATCTCAACCCTCCCCCTTTTTCAATATATCGATTTATTGATTGATAGTTGGTTGCTTAGCTTTCCAGTGGCAAATATTTCATGCATGTTTAGGACGAATTCAATGTATCGACAAAACGTACACCCATGTTACTTATTTATTCTTTGTCTAAACTTATAATTTGTTTTTAATTTAACACTGTTACCTAGATTATATGTCTTTATTGGTACAAACATTGTTTTGGTTTTTCAATAAACTGAAGAAAAACTAAAAATGTATTTATATATATACAATTATGAACACCTATGGTCCTATATATATATATATATATATATATATTGTACCGATACTAATATGTTGGCATTGCATAAGGCTGTGCTTTTCTCAGACTGTTGATGGCGTGTTTATACTTAATCCATTGGAGATGTAATGATTGACATTTTAATTAGGGAAAACATGGTTTATACGTTGAAATTGGCATTAATCTAGCTTTCAGTAACTGCATGCATGTATACTATTGGATCGGTAGTTTGTGTTTTTGTCTTTTTATTGGCTGTTTTTTTGTGATTTACAGTTTGATCTTATGTACATATTGTGTGGTTAAACCACT